TTCACAATATGTAGGTACTTACCTCATATCACGTCATACCACGCATCGTCGATACTTTTTCACGGGGGATAAACCCATTAGATATCTGTATCTATCTTCGTCTCTCTTAGAAGGTGATCCTACTAACTTTTATCTGCGACTTGGTATGCGAAGAGTTAAATCCCATTTTTTTTATATATTGTTAGAGTTTCGGGAACTCCCCTTTTAAAGTTATATTTAATAACATCCAAAAAACCTACAAGTTAAACCGGTACTACTTTTTTAAGCTATGCATTTTGTGCTAGGTACAGGAATTTATTGGGCAAACTAACATTATCACATTAACTGATAGTATTCATGGTGTAACTCTTTATAGGGATTTAGCTTATTGTGAAACAGACCATTTAATACATTTTGTAAATAATCGAATAATATACCTAACTAAAACGAACCTTGCCTATACCTCTGTAGTTACCTTACCTATTTGAAGGTTTTATATATATTTGTATGTCATTTGCATTCTGTGTCACTGAACATAGGCCTCCTTTAATTCCAGATTGGTAGAGGGACAATTAAGAATTGGTCCAATTTCATCGCAATAAGTCCGATAGTATTGATGCAAACAGTTATTGTTAGTAAAGATATCGTCATACATTGTTAAAAATAAGCATTTATCAAGACTATGAATAACAAGGCTCACACTCAGCCATCTGTGCTTAGGCGTCATAAGTCATAACAAAAAATAGTTCTAAGAACTTTTAAAACTGCTTGAGCTGACTAAATATAATTAAATGCTAAATTCGACCTTATTACTTTTATGCTAAGGTTCTCATAGTGACTACACTGCTACACAGTATGGTACCAAGACCAACGCAACAAAAAGGTTATATATTATCAATCGCTTTTTTGTTTTTTATTTACAATTAACAAAAAGCACGCCTTGTGTTTGGAATATGAGTAGCCCACTTACGAAGTCCCTCTCAAAATCGATGACTTTAAAAAAATATAATATTTACCAATTTAAAAGGATGCCGGTCGGTTTAATATTTTAACAGAAACTCCGTAGGTACCTATAACTACGTAAAAAATCTTAATTCAAAATCTATGACATATACATGACGAGATCATCCTGAACCTACTACTATCTCAAACCCGCATGCCATGCGGGAAGAATCGCAGATTATGTCAAACCCTCTTACGAAGAGGAGAACTACTATAGGGTGTTAATGATGAACACATTGTTCTTGACTTCAATGCCTAAGTACTTATTTATTACCATCTGAATTAGCATTGATTGGTAGCTGTGCCTGTTTTAACAAATTAAATAAAACGTCCCTAAACATTACATCTACATTTTTCCTGCTCTATAAATATTTAGTACCTAACTTGCTATCCATTGGTGGTTCAGTCTGTGGTTCAGTGGCTAACATAACAAAGCAACAAAGCTCACAATTTATTCAGATCACAAACACTTCGTCAGTTCTTCGCAGACGCCATTGTAAAGCCATTAATTAGCACACAATGATAAAATAATTAAATGTGGAAATTATTCGTCATTCATCGCAAAATCTTAATTAAGTCCCTAAATTGGAATCGAATTGAATTTACGCTTGTGTGACAAAGTCTTCGATGTTTTAAAGTCATAATTAGGGGATTGTGTTACAGAGTAGAACAGTGGAGGTGGCGACAATCCATGATTATAGTATGGTTGCTGTTTGAATTGAAACTGGACTATAATTAGGTAATTTGTTAATAAGCCATAATTTCCTTATAACAAGGAGTATAGAGAGAGCTGTATTATCCCTAAGGCGAAATAAGTACCTAAGGGTATAGTGGGCCAGGAGACGCTAGACTATCCAAAGTGGCGGCGCCAAAAACATAGCGGTGCTTATGAAATGCTTGCCTTGCCTAGGCAGTATCGTCTTTACCATAAGGGCACTCGGGGCCCGTACCCAGGGCCCCCATCCTCAGGGAGGCCCGAAGCACCGACAATTTCTACGACGGGCACACACCCGCTACACGGGTAGCGGGTTCGATGCCCGCACAGAGCAAATCTTTGTGTGATCCACAATCTACAAATTGTTGTTTTGGGTCTTTGTGTGTATGTGAACTTGTATGTCTGTAAACTTATCTGTACCCTAGTGTGGTGCAACGTAAAAAAAAGGAATCACCACACGGTCCCCGACGTATTGTGTGCCCAAGAGCCCCAGCGTAGTCTAAGACGGCCCTGTGTCTAGAGCGCTCTTTAGGTTTAATCCGCCTCTTTCCGTATTTGTTTATATCAACAACATAACATGGCTGACCTACCTAAATATAGGTACCCACGTATCTCAGGGAAAATGCGGTTATTAATAACAATCAATGACAACCAAGTACTAGGCAGCTAACCATGTACCTATTGCCAGGGCCGTTACAAATTCACATACACATGACACCCAGACCAAAACACAACACTATTTGTGGATTGTGTTACGGGGCAGTCGGTTGCTGCGCAGCGTATAGCGGGTGTGTACCCGTCGTAGAAATTGTCTGTCCTCCGGGCCCCGAACAAGGCCCAAGGCCCCCATCTTCAGGGGCCCCCTGAGGATGGAGGCTTTGGGCACGGGCCGCAAGTGCCCTTATGGTAAAGACGGTGCTGCTTAGGTACTGCCAAAGTTAGAAACCAATTTTAAAAATCCCTGAAAGTTGAAGTATTTTGTCATTATTTATGACTTATTTGATTGTTTGATTATTATGATTTATTTGGTGTTATGACTGTAATGTTATACTATTTAATTAAAATAAATGAATAAATAATAGTATCCTGGTGCTTTTGAAAAATTAAGTAAGTGCCATCTGACGGCCGATGGGGTAGTAAGGTTCTCAAATGGAAGCTACACACTTACTAATTAAAACTCTAGCAACTATATTAATAAATCCTCCTGGTGGATAGTGTGGTGATCCATGACCTATGTTTGAGTATGCTTGTTTATCCAAAACTAAAGACTGAGAATCTTTGTAGCCTTGTTGCGTATCCTGCCTGCACCAAAATTAAATGGCATCATGATAGGTACTGACGTATAATTGACACATTTACGGAATATTACAACACCCAGTATGCTAGTCTAGTGAATTACTTCCACAGTACTGATGTTGCACTTTCATCTACACTTACATACAAATTAATTTGTACTATATTTTTATAATAAATAAATAACTCACGTGAATATACTAAGAAAAGCTCTACTAGTTTCGAACCACAGAACGCACGCTGCTCATGAGGAAGAACCCCTCTGTGGTTCGAAACTAGTAGAGCTTTTCTCAGTATACTTACGTGAGTAACCCGCGATTTTACTTAATTTGTACTATAATAATGTATTAATAAATTTCATTACTATGATACTAGCAATTAGCATCGGTCACGTCTAGACATAAAAATGACTGTAATTTTAAAGTAGGTGTAGGTAATTAAAATTTTTATTTTATGTCTCGATTATTTTTAAGTCTTTCAATTGCCTTGTCAACAGTTAGGTAGGTAGGTAGTACAGATAATAACAGTCAACAGGCTCACCAGGGGACGAACCGAGCCGCTGACTCAACGTTCATTGTTATAAATAAGGTCAGTTACCATTAAGTAGGTACCTACTTTATCAACTTATTAATACATAGTATCTACGTATATATAATATAGGTCTGTTATTCCCCGGGGAAGTAGGTCGGTTGGTAGTATATCTACTTAGGTAAACCAACCGCAGCACTTTTTTGGACAAGCCTATGTCTGGATGTAGGTAGGTGCATTGGATATACACAACCAAGAAAACACCGAAACACTGAAGTCGCGGTGCGTTCCAGAGACACGAATGACTGTCTTGGATCTCAATACCATTGAAGAAGAAGCCAGCATCAGTTTACTAAGTTAGCCTAAACATTTTTTTATTCATAGGATAGACCATAGACTGCCTCTTTGGCCGAGTGGTCACAAGTGCGACTGCTGTTCGATACCCGGGGCGGGCAAAGTATTACTGGGTTTTTAAAAAATTCTCAGTAGTAGCACGGAATCTAGAATTGTGCCCGATATATGCCAATATGCTCATTGACAATAGGTCCTATTTCATGGGACTCATAACATAAAAGTGGGTGTTACATAGTATGTGGCACCTTAGATTAATAACCTACCTAATTCTGAGTGGTACTAAGTACCGTAAAGTGCACCTCTACCTTCCCCTTCGAGAATAAACAGCTTGATGTTATGTGTGTGATAGACAGTACACCATAGAGGAAAAACTAGCAGGCTGATTACCTAACGGTAAGTGATGCACACCGTTCGTTGACAATTATAACATCAGAGATACAAATAAATTGCCGGTCGGTTAATGCGCAACGTATCGGACTCCCGTGTATAAGCCTCAAATTGTTGTTCCGGATCTGAATATTAGGTATGTGAAATTATTAAGTGATCGTAAACGCTCCTACGACACAGACAAAATTCAGCGATCCTGAGGCTTAGTACGAGTTTGATTTACGTTTAAAGTATTCGAAACGAGTATGCGTTCGGCACTCTGATTGGCCGACACCAATGAAGCAACCAATCACGGCGCCGAACGCGTACTCGTTACGATTACTTTAAACATAAATCAAACTCGTACTGAGGCCTCTGTACGATCAAGTAAATATTTAAGAAAAAAAATGAGAATGTGGATGTCGACTGGTTGCCCAACTTGCAAATACAACTAGGTACCTACCAATACATACTCAGAAAGGAGTTTAGGGATCGATTCTCCGAATAGGTAAAGTACAATTGCATTTGAATCTGAAGAGTCATGTCTTTAATCCTCGAAGGGGTTAAGCAAACACAGGTATTATAAATCCTGTGTACACTGGACAAAATAGCAAACTTCATGCCTGGCTACCTGGGAATCGAACCCACCGTTTATAAATACATATGTCTAATAGGTTTTGTCAGAAAAGAAGTGCAAGATGGATGAAGTCTTAGTTGTGCTTAAGATAAAAACAGTAAGTTAAACGAAAGATATTTTATGAAATCAATGTTTTATTTTCTTTTTCGATACACTGGCTACTGGTTCCGTTTCGTATTCAATTTCAACACGAGCCTTCTTCTTCTGTGGTACCCTTTCAGCAATATCCTGTAATAAAAGTAAATAAGCATTAAACACTAGCTACTTCCGCGCGGTTTCACACGCTCTGCTCAGCTCCTATTGGTCGTAGAGTGATGTTTTATAGCCTATAGCCATCCTCAATAAATGCGCTATCCAACACAAAAAGAATTATTCAAATAAGACTTGTAGTTACGGAGATTCGCGCGTTTAAATAAACAAACAAAAAAACAAACTCTTCCGCTTTACACAATAGTATAAGTATTGCAAAAGGTTCTATAGTATTGTCAAATTGAGTTATCTTATTCATAGAAAAGAAATAGTGAAATTCACAACTTCTTACAATTTTTCGGTTTATCTTCAATACAGCAGGAAGGAGAAAAATAAGTAGAAAGATCATTATAACAATATAATTACTAATTACCTCAATATCTGATGTTTCAGACTCGAAGTCGCTTCCTACATCCGCACCTTCTTTCTTCCCGGAGTCCGAATCCTGCAAGATTTATAAAGCTTATGAAAATGCCTTAGTAAATGATAGCATAGAAGTTAAATTATGCTTGAGTCTGGACTCCATCAAATTAAAACCGAGACGAAAGGGTTGGAGATATTGTTCGAACAACCAATTGACAGGTTCCTTATAATATGTTTAGTCATATATCATACCACAATTGGGTAGTATCCAGGGTATCAACATTAAAAATGTAATTAGTCCGTCAGTTACATAAAGAAAAAATATCAGACACGTATTTTTTTTTCGTATTAAGTTGCAATACAATGATAGATACAATGGCGCTAAGTTTAGGAGTCGTCGTCGTTAGGGAGGTCGTTACGTCATAACGTGCTACAAAATGTGGCACGCTGTGACGTCACACGATATTTCAAATTAATATATCGTCGAAAGTATTTAATTTTGCGAGAAAAGAAAAAATACGTGTATAAAGTTTTAAATGAATGTACCAGACCGGCATTAAAATAAAATTTAGGAAACTACCTTATATACTTTTAGTAATTGAATGTAATTTTCGTCACCATGGCTGAGTCATGCCTTTAACATCTTAGGCTCAAAACTTTTAAGACTGAGTCCACTGTAGATATTTTCAATCATAACCGTTTTATTGTTGTCCAGTACTAATACATTGCTTACTCAACCATTAATTAATTTAGTTTACAAAGTTGAATAGGAGTAGTTATAAATGACTTACCTCATCACTGTCCATTTCACTATCGGCTTCAACAAACTCGTCAGCTTGTTCCACAGTCCTCTCCAGTTCCCTCTCCAATTCCGGTTCCATCTCTCTTTCTTCTTCCTCCTCTTCTTCATCTTCTTTCTCACTCTCACTCGATATCTCTTCCGCTTTGAGCGCCGAGTCGAACGCCATTTGTGGGAAGTTGTAGATGTCGTTGTACTGAAAAAAACGAAATAGCGAGATAAAATACTGGACATTATATGAATGGGGCCGTCGGTAGAGAGCGCCCTAGACGGCCATATACCCACCAGATTGGCGATATATTAAAGTAGGGTCCAATTATTAGTACCCTTTTAACCGACGAGCATGCATGAAAAAATGTATGACTGTTGATGAAGCGAAAGAGGTATGTAGGAATCGTAGTAATTTGCGTTCTATAGTCTATGCCTACACCCATAGGAGACAAGCGTGAAGTTATGTTGTAGTTCTCAAATAGTTGCAACCATGTGGTTTACAGTATTGAGTATTTTCAATTTTACTCAATAGTGTCATAAAATAAATCACAAGATGATGGCACAGTTTGTAAGAGATCTTTGTTGTAACCCATTTGTGCAACAGCCAACTAAGGAATTAACTGTATTTAACAGAGAGAGCTCCTCTTAACTTCACAGTTTAGTATGAATCCCAAAGTAATCGAAACTAACACGCGTTCAGTGCTTTGATTGGTTGGTTTTCAGTTTTCAGTAACATTTTTTTTAATTCCCTAAGATCGAAAAAGGAAGATCCTTCGACCAGGCGAGGTGATCGTGTCTGGCGGGCTTTCTGCCCAACAGTTGTTTGTTGGGATTTTCTATCCGTGTTAATTCACTTGTAAACTTCACATGTGCGAAGTAGGATTTTGTGACGTCATCTGTTGATTTGTTTTCATCGATAAGCTGTGTATGAGCTGTCATGCTGTCATTTGACGCGTGACATGTGTCGCTACAGGTTTATTGGAGTCGGCCAATCAGAGCAGTGATTGCGGTATCATTATTTTAAACGTAAAACAAATTACTAGGTCCTCAGTATTACACTATCATGGTTTGTTGAAAAAGATGATAAGGTGGTAATGCAGCCAAGTCATTATGACAAATAAGGAAATCTCATCAATAGTGAAGTGTTTTCCTCCCAATTACCCTGGGGTATACTTACTGTGCCCTTCTTCAGTCTCTCAAGCAGCTGTTTCTCAATAGCATTGTCTATTCTAGCAGCTACTAAGGCCTTCTCTTCCCTTCTTCTCTCTCGTCTCTCTATCTTACGCTGTATTGGGACCAGTTCTTTCCTGAAATGTAATTAAAAACATATAATTTTTGCAACACCTCATTATTTCAATTTTTGGGTTTGGGATAGACCTGTATCTCTGTACTATCTCTTTGATAATTGATGATATATAAATGAATACTGATAAAACCGTGTGCCTCATATTCCTTAGAAAAAAAACAAAATCATGTAGGTGTTTTATTTATAACCAGAAAAATCATTATTTCAATTCTGTTCAATTCTCATATCTACAGATTTTAATGGATTATTGATAAGCACACAGGAAAACAAAATCTACAACCTTTATTTTGTAGGGCAGATGATAGTTATTTGAAAAGACCAAAAGAACGAGGATATAATAAAAAAAAACGGAAAAAGAGAAAGTAAAGGCTGGAGGACGCATGAGCAGGAAACGCTGCCTCCTCGCAACCCAGCCATCAACAAGGACACTCCGGGCGTCGGGGATCGCGAAACGATCTCCGGCCCTGTGGACGACCAGAACCAGACCCGAGCGTACGGCGCGTCGCGTTGGGCGCGCACCTCAAAGAGCAATCAGACCACCATAGATGGGGCCCAATAGGGCTGATGCCGATACGTAGTTGCGGAGAACCTAATGGGGTATTGGTTATAAAAAGTAAAAATTATGATTATATTTAATGCATTAAACACTGATATACTTACACTCTCCTCAATTTGAGTTTTCTCATCCTTATAAGGTACTGTGTTATTTTGACAAATCTCTGTTTGCATTTTGCTTTTATAAAAGCTGGCCAGTATAAAAGATTTTCATTTATTTGATATATTGCCTTCTCAAAGTTTCTTGATAGTTTCACTTTCTCCCATTGTTTTGCAGGAAACATTACTCTGAAATTATAAAATCATTTCATTTATAGATAAATAAATATTGTGAAATATTTATTTACACTAGCTCCTGGTTGCAAAATCTTACACAATATTTGTATGAAATATATTGAGTCTTCAAAAGGCATAGATTCGTTGGCAAAAAGTGTTAGGAGTTGTAGGTAGAGAGTAGAGTACACTATCATTCACAAGTTATTAAGTTATTAACTACATTCAAATGAAGATTACCTTTCTGCTGTCTTCATATATAAATAAATAATACCATTCTCCTCCCGGATGGTTGCATATTTACTGTTAGCAAGCGGACAGGACGCCCTACTGCATAAACCGGTCAAGTTGTACTCATTTCGACAAAACTGCTGTGTTTTTGTCCTAGAAATAAAAATTATAAGCATTACTTACATGAAAAGGTCTATAGAAAAAATTTAAACAATTTTTTAATACTAATACTCACGTTACTTTATGGGAGCAATGTGTTTTGTTGATAATAGCCCACACCACCTGTAAACATTAAATTATTTAACCAATACGTAACATACAACAAATTACACCATTTTCTCGTGCTTTAGAGTAACTTACGTCATCGTGCTGCATTTTGAGTTATTTTTATAATCCAGTTTTATGCACTCAAATCAAAATAATCACATGGGTAGACAACATACATAACCTCAAATTTACAACACGATAGCACGGTACAACTGACAGTCTAAGTCTAGTGACAATGACAGTTACTACCGTTTGAAACTGTCATTTCTGTCAAGATTGTCAATGTTGGCATCGATAATTTGAGTACAAAACTTGACAACTAGGTAATATGCATGTGGCAAATAGCATTCAATAGCATTATTCGAATCGAATTTTGACATCGTGTATTCGCATGTGCATTTCAATACGTTACTTGACTTACAATACAACAAATAACGGACATTCTTAAATAGTACCTACCGTTACCTACATATAGTAAAATATATTTACTAGATTTATTTGATCTCTAATCTCAACATGTAATGTTTTTTACCTATTATTATTTTATACATATCCCTAGGTCTCAATCAAAAAATCTAATCTAGTTCTTAGATTTGTCTGTGTTATTGGTTCATATTGTCCATCAAAACTTTTTTCCAATAATCCTTGATGACTATGATATTAAAATGGAACCGATTATTCGATAGTCGATTAGAGCACATCACTAATTGGAATTCTATTTTTTCAGTTTAAAATCGTATGTCGGTTATTTCAGTGTTCTGCTTCTGTTTCTGTTTATGTTTGTTTCTTGCTGAGATGGTAAAAATGACGAATACGCAGGTTGTGCTCGAATTTTATGCCTAATTTTACTAGTGTTTATTCTACATTAGGGATCAGTGATAATATAATGTTCTAAAATGAGTGACAATATAAAAGTGGTTGTCAAAGTTAGACCTCTAATTTTACGTGAAATTGAAAGCAAACTTTCGTACCGGTGGCGTGTGAAGAATAACACGCTATACCAACTCGATCAAAATGGAAAGGACTTCGGCCAATACTACACATTCGGTAAGTGAAACTTTAATAACCCTCAATTACTTTGCCAGTGCATTGCAATTCAAAGTGATTCTAATGAGTTTTAGATACGTCATAGAAGGCTAACGCAAAATCTAATTGCGGATGTTCTTTCAGACCGAGTGTATGACCAGGATACGAAGACTTCGGTTGTGTACGATGAGATCGCGAAGCCTATTGTAGAGGCCGCGACGGCTGGCTTCAACGGCACTATATTTGCCTATGGCCAGACATCTTCAGGCAAGACATTCACAATGACAGGCACGGAAGACTCGCCTGGCATAATTCCACTTGCTGTTCTTAATTTATTTGAGATCATCAGAAGCGTACCTGATCGGGACTTCTTAGTTAGGTAAGACTGTTTATTTGTTTACCCTCATTGAATATGACCATGACCCTGACTTACTCGTAAGTTGATTTAGGGGTGTGAGAGACTGTGATTTATATTTTCTGCTAAATTTATAATTAAAAAGTACAACCAGAATTATTTGTAAATGTGACTTGTTTTAATTCACAATTTACAATTTCTAATATCCCTGCTTCTTACAATAATACATTGAACTTGTAACTAATAGAAAAGACTAACCGGTCTGCTTATACCTTTGCTGAATGAAAAGACAAGTATAATATTTATATGCACATGAAGTTTAAAATTCTAAAATGAGCTCTCATATATAAATTCATATTTTAAAAAGCTATGCATATTTCCTACACAAGATAAAATTCTCAATGATCAAGGCTACGTAAATAAAAAATGACATTGAATGAATTGATTAGTTTGTGCTAAACATAGTAAAATATTAGCAGTTGAAGTTATCAGATAAATATGATAATATGTGTACTGTAATCAGAAATATTATATAAGTTTTTAAAATAGGCTTAACCTGGGCTAGGTTAGTAATATTGTAATTACTGATTAGTAATCCTTTTCAATAGTTCTATGTAAAAGATATTGGATCAAAGTCAAAATATTAATTTTAACTTGACTAACTTTGACAACCACTTTTAGACTTAAAAAGAGCATTTAGTAATTAAAATGTTGTTTTATTTGTTGACAAGTCTTTCATGTAAAGCTATATTATACTATAATATGAAAAATAAATCATAAAAATTAAAATTTACGTATATATTTCAAGAAAAACTAAAATGATCTATACAATATTTAACATAAGTACTTAAGCTTTGTCTGTGTGTATTTGACATGTCTATGTAAAATATCGGGAGACGGGAATCCCCAGGAAATAGAATTAAAAGACGTTAATTTCAATTTCTTAGGGACTTTCCCTTTTGATGAAATTGATCTTATTTTTCGGCGTCCTTTGCTCAACCGGGATTTGTTGCAATAGGTACTTTTAGAAACAGGTCGTTATTGTTGGAGCTATAGCTAGGGATATATTATGTACATATATTGGTTGACAAAAAAGTACCCTTTAGTTACATAGACCTTATAGTTATTAGACTTAATGTGTTCATACTTATGTTACAGAGTGTCTTACATAGAAATCTATAATGAAACTGTAAGAGATTTGCTGGATATTGAGAAAGAAAACATAAAAATCCATGACACAATTGAAGGTATTATCAAAGTGGATACCACGGAAAAGGTGACATCCACTCCTGAAGAAATAATGGAAGTTATGAGAGAGGTAATTACTTAACAAAATTATACCATTTTTTATGTACGGTTGGCACAGACACAGGGGCTAGTAACAACTTACTACTGTGCCAATTCTGATGGGTTCAATTCATGCACAGAACAAGTTTTTCTGTGATCTTTAAAGTGTTATTCTGAGTGTGGCTGTAACATACACTTAGGAGCAAATAAACTCCACTAGCATTTTTCTTTTTTATTTCTTGATTAATATTTTCTGATAAGTATTCTATAAAAAGCAATTTAGTTACTTTTATATTGAGAGCATTTTGTTGTAAAAGGAATATATATATAAAAAAATAACGCTAGTGACTTCTTTGGTACCAAGTGTATATGTGAAATTATGTTTTAGTTATAATACAAACACATCACAGGATAATAATCCTAATATGGAGCAACATCATTATTATTTGGAAACAAAAACTGCATTGTTTATTGTGTTGATGTACTATCGACAAAGTTTACGGTAGTACTCAAAATCCTTTGGCAAACTCGCTATTCACCACACTGTTTTTCCTATGGTTGCTAGAGTTGTTGCCGAGTACATGGCGAATATCTCCTAATGGTTGAACGCTAATTTTGTCGATCGTACATGTGTTAGTGTTTAAATATTATTTATTATACTGATTCATATAATATACTTGATTATTGTTTTTGGATGAGGCTTACATTCAGACATGGATGGAATAAGTGAGGTGATAGGTAGGGGTATGTATATTATAAAATATATATTTTTATTTAATACCTATTAGTTATGCCATCGTGTGTTGTTAGTATTTGTTTTTTTTTTTATTTCCGGTAATATTTAGCATGTCATTTAATTTAATTATAAATTGTTTACATAAGTCATACTCTATTTGTTTGTAATGAGACAAATAATATAGTGGCTAACACTGAGTCTACTATATATAATTTTCATGTAGGTCTACATGAAAATTTAAGGAAAGATAAAATCTTACTCATTATTTAAAAAATAATATTTACCTTCTCCAGGGTGAAGCAAATAGACAAAAAGGAGCTACGAAAATGAATGAAGAAAGTAGCCGATCACATTCCATTTTCCAAATAGTAAGTACATTACAATACTTTATTTTTATGGTAATAAGGTTCTTTTTATTTGTAAATTTATACACCATACTTGATGACTGCATGGTTGGCGCGGTGGTTGGGCAACTGACTGCCGCGCAACGTACCGCGAGTTCGATTCCCGCACGGAACAACTGTGTGATCCACAGATCGTTGTTCCGGGTCTGGGTGTCATGTGTATGTAAACTTGTACGTTTGTGAACGCACCCACGACACAGGAGGAAATCCTAGTGTGGGGCAAAAAATGATGTTATCTATATTTAAACATAGCAAGGTCTATATAAAGGACTCTGCTCGAAGTTTCAGATTAAATTACAACAATATATTTATTTATCTACATTTTTATCCGTAGAAATTTAGACCATCAATGCATTCGTTAGTTTCGTATGTCCTTGAGTGGCGTCCGTGATCCGTCTGTTCGTTTGCGTCCTATCCCAAAAAGTGATTTTAAATTAAAAACGTGCTTAAAAAGTCTTATTATGCAGTTGTTGAGTTTGTGTGGGCACAAGACAACCTTGTGCACCTTTTTTGGAAATAGTCTGATGTAATAGTGTATCTGATACACCTACATTCAAAAGCGGCGTCTGTCGACAAAAACTAAACAAACATAATTATTTGTGACTCGGTATGAGAGTACATAATAATCAGTGATCGGTAAAAGGTGAGCTAATTTACCTAAACTTCAAGGAACAAAAACAAAGAGTGGAGAAGTCAAAAAATGTTGTATTAAGGAAGTCCTTACTACAACATTTTTTTCGGGAAAGTTCCAGTTCCAGTTTCGGGATATTTATATATTACATTTAATATAATTGTTATTAATACAGAAAACAATTGATTTCGTTTCGTGATTTTATTTCTTAAATTTAACACAAAACCAAACAAAATTAAAACTTTTATTGTTTTCAACAATAAATATTTTAAGATGTAAGAAAGAGCATAAAATAAAATTATTCAACCATGTTATGGTAATGCTATGCCATGATGAAATATGGTTTTTAGTATTTTTGTCTGTTTGTCTGTATGTATGTCCGGGATGATCTCAAAAACTACTGCATGGATTTACGTCACATTTTGCATGAATATTACTAATAAGTCGAATCAACATATAGGCTACATATTATCACGTTATCATCTACGGGGGAGGAGCCCTATTCTAGGTACACGTAATTTGTTACCGTAAAATATACCTTGACAAAGACTAATTCAAAAGCATAAATTCTGCCAGAAGTCATTATTCTACGCGGACGAAGTCGCGGGCAACAGCTAGTTTGTATCTAAAATTAATAGTAGCAAAGAGTATGGAATCGTGTCTGCCTGT